AACGTTGACTTATGACTTTAGATGTGGGGAAGAGAGAGACTTCTAGATAATTGAGTTCTTACATTAGATCCTGCTGACAGTTACAATTCTCCATGAAGATGCGCTCCTGCCATCTTATTTTGACAGACACATGGTAAAGAAATTATTGGGGAGGTAATGGAAGACAGACCAGAGTCAAACCTGCATCAAAGTTAAGCTCAATCAATAGCATTTGTAGCATAACAATGTTGATTTACCAAATAAAAAAAGTAAGAAAGATATTAGGTTAAGTTAAGGAACTTACAATGGCACTTAAATGTGGCCATTTTTGTGGGATTTAAAAGCAGAAATGTGAAGCTCAATTTTATGAAAACACATTAATTCGTCTTTTGCAATTCAGTCATTTTAAGGTTTATTGCATTGCATTAAAAAGGCAATAAAGTTGTAAAAATGGATAAAACTATACACAGAAAAGCTTTAACCCTTGTGTTGTGTTCAAAACCCTATAACACTTGTGATGTTCCCGGTCAAAAATTACCGGCCTACAAAAAATAGCTTATAAATCACTTGTTATGCTTTATTATCACCCAATATTGGATTCAAACTTTTTGTCAACTTGTTCTCTTTCAATTAGGACTGGTTTTATATTTCTATTTGCATCTGATTAATCGTAGGCCTCATTTATCTGAGAGTAGGCATCTCATTTTTTGACTACTTTAATGTTTCACCAGGAAGTTTGTTTCGAAAAACTTTTATTTTGTAAAAGTGGGGGTACAAAAAAACAAACAAAAGTTTGTTGATTGTGGCCTGTGTAATGTTGGTCCACTCCTCTTCAATGGCTGTGCGAAGTTGCTGGATATTGGCAGGAACTGGAACACGCTGTCGTATACACCGATCCAGAGCATCCCAAACATGCTCAATGGGTGACATGTCCGGTGAGTATGCTGGCCATGCGAGAACTGGGATGTTTTCAGTTTCCAGGAATTGTGTACAGATCCTTGCAACATGGGGCCGTGCATTATCATGCTGCAACATGAGGTGATGGTATTGGATGCATGGCACAACAATGGGCCTCAAGATCTTGTCACGGTATCTCTGTGCATTCAAAATGCCATCAATAAAATGCACCTGTGTTCGTTGTCCATAACATACGGCTGCCCATACCATAACCCCACCACCACCATGGGCCACTCAATCCACAACGTTGACATCAGCAAACTGCACACCCACACGATGCCATACACGCTGTCTGCCATCTGCCCTGTACAGTGAAAACTGGGATTCATCCGTGAAGAGAACACATTTCCAAAGTGTCAGACGCCATTGAATGTGAGCTTTTGCCGGCTCAAGTCGGTTACGATGACGAACTGCAGTCAGGTCGAGACCCCGATGAGGACGACGAGCATGCAGATGAGCTTCCCTGAGACGGTTTCTGACAGTTTGTGCAGACATTTTTTGGTTATGCAAACCGATTGTTGCAGCAGCTGTCCGGGTGCCTGGTCTCAGACGATCTTGGAGGTGAAGATGCTGGATGTGGAGGTCATGGGCTGGTGTGGTTACACGTGGTCTGCGGTTGTGAGGCCGGTTGGATGTAGAGCCCGAAGCCATTTGTTTTGAGAATAATGGCTGGCTGATGAAGTTATTGGCTGGCTAGCCGGCTCAGCCAAAATCTAAATGGCTGCTGCAGCCGCCAAACTTTTCATAGCTGCAAAGGGCTGATGTCAGTCTTTTTACTTTCACGATTGGTTGCTGATAAAAAGGAAATGACCATATTTGGATCCAACAGGATTGTACCGAAGAGAGAGAGCTTCCTAACGGTGCATGTGATGAGAGGGTGACGGCAGAGATCGCGGAGAAGTATGTTGATTAAGAACGCAAACTTTTGTTGAATTTATGAGAAATCTACAGACGCAAATAGACGAAGTGTAGTAAAATAAAGACCTAAATGTGTATTTCAGACTTTTTTTCACCACAAAGCTGAAAGAAGACATGTTATTGAAGACAAATATCCAAAAATCTCAAAATTGACCAGTAAAAAAAAAACGATTTTTTTTGCCTGCCGTGTCTCGCCTTAATATAAACACACACTGTTATCAGTATTATTTTGGACAAAGTTTTGCACATTTCACTTCAATGTACACTGAAGCATGCGTCGTGAATTAGCAATGTGGAAACGGTGGTTTGTTACTGCAGTGATATCACGTTCAGTGCTATAAATCTCTCCGTTCCAGAATATTTGATTCAGGTGTTTGTGCAACCGTGCCTTGAAGATTTAACAAAAGTCTGGGTAGGCCTAAGTTAAAAAAAAAAGTAAGTAGGAATTAGTAAAGTATGTGAGAAGTGAGATCAAAATGACCTTGCTTGCTTCTTTCCGCCATTTCACCTCAGTGCGGGAAAAAAAATGCATCGCTTCTTCTGTACGGAAAACAAGCAATTTTAATTGGTCGTCAATTCACTGTGAGTCTGTGTATCGTAGCAACGAGCACAAGACTGTCCTGTTATGAATCCAGTGGGAAAATAGATCTCGTGTATTGTTTATATATTTCGTGTGTGTATGTCTCTGTGATAGAATTATTATTTGATGCAAATAATTCTAGCCGGCTCAGCCAAACTTTATCAGATGGCGGCTCAATTTGATATTCTGAAATTCTAAATGGCGCAAATGGCGGTGGCGGCTTCGGGGACTAGTTGGATTTACTGCGAAATTTTCTGAAACGCCTTTGGAGACGGCTTATGGTAGAGAAATGAACATTCAATTCACGGGCAACAGCTCTGGTGGGTTTTTGGGATGCTCTGGATCGGCGTGTTCCAGGTCCTGCCAATATCCAGCAAATTCGCACAGCCATTGAAGAGGAGTGGACCAACATTCCACAGGCCACAATCAACAACCTTTTTTTTTTTTCTTCAACCTTTTTCCCAGTACAGTAAAACTGCACATTTTAGAGTGGCCTTTTATTGTGGCCAGCCTAAGGCGTGTGCCTATAGTCATGCTGTCTAATCAGCATCTTGATATGCCACACCTGTGAGGTGGATGGATTATCTCGGCAAAGGAGAAGTGCTCACTAACACAGATTTAGACAGATTTGTGAACAATATTTGAGAGAAATAGGCCTTTTATGTACATAGAAAAAAGTTTTAGATCTTTGAGTTCAGCAAAAATGGGGGCAAAAACAAAAGTGTTGCGTTTAATTTTGTTCAGTGTAATTCATAAATAATGCTTTTTTTTACTCAAAAAATGAGATGCCTACTCTCAGAAAAATGAGGCCTATGATTAATCAGATGCAAATAGAAATATAAAACCAGTCCTAATTGAAAGAAAACAAGTTGACAAAAAGATTGAATCCAATATTGGGTGATAATATAGTATTGTGGTGAGCAGGACGAGGCCGAGGGACGTGAGAGAACGGCGAGACCGGTGCGTCTCTCAGGTGTCATTCATTATCACTCACGCCACCGGCCTCGCGCCGTTCTCACGTCCCTCAGCCTCGTCCTGCTCGCCACAAGTATAATGAGAGATTTATAAGCTATTTTTTGAAAAGAAAAACATTTGAGAAGTAGTTATACCCTTTGTGAACAAAGTCACTAAGTTTCAGTCCAATGCGATAACATTAACTAGTATCTTCGGGAAAAAGAAAATCTTCTCCGGGTCAAAATGACCCGAACACAACATGAGGGTTAAGTCATTTTTTGGATTCAAAATCATGGTTTACGATTTGGCCCCAGTCTCTGCCATTGCAAGTAAAAGTTGAAGTTGAAGTTCTTTTTTGTAGTAATTAACATTATGCCACAAATGCTGTCGATTGAGCATAACTTGTACTGAACCCAGAATATTCATTTATGAGCATGAAACATTTATGTTTTTACCCAACCAGTCATGAAATAGAGAATATGCGAGTTGGAGAAATTCTGAGACCACAGAGGGACAGTAAAAGTGTATGTGTGCACGTTTGCTCCCGTAGTTCACTGGTCCGTGCTGTAATGCAGGTGATGAATGTGTTCAAACATCTATACGGTGTGAGTAACGAGGCTGGACTCTTCAGTCTGCCATGTTGACGTTTTTGTTTTTCTCCGCCATGTCCCGTTCCACCCTATCCTCCCTCTCAATCTCAATATTAAAATGTCTGCTATTGTTTTATGTTGCTTGGCACAGAACTCCCGGCTTCTTCAATGTCACCTGCGACATAAATCCATGTTCTGCAGAGCAGCCTTATCATATTATACAGTATTTTGGCTGAGTTGCTGTGGTTGTGAGTGCGTGTAAGTGTGGTGTCTGGTTGCATGCTGAGGTTAAAGAGAGCTATTCTGATCTTTATGGCTACAGAATCAGAATCGGCCATGAACAATCATAATCAGTGCATCCCTAGTTAGTAAGATTTTTCTTTATTAAAATAAATTTATTCATGGTGTATTTGTATTTGTTTTTGATTGCACACATAGTTATTCTTAAATGGCTTATTTTTATAATGCCATAAAGAAATATTTTAAATATCTCATCCATCAAGGGATCTCTTCCAGTCTTTGACAGGCTATGATTGTTCACCTTACAGCCCATGATACTATGGTGATTTGTACGCCTGTTTGGATCACATGGTTTCAGTTGTGTTTATTCTATATATTGACGGCAGAAAGGAGAGTTTGTTTGTAAAATTTGATATGGAATTTAAAAAAAAAAATCAGCAAAAATACATATTACACATGCCAACATTTAAAATAATGAAGATGGTATCTTAACATTGATGAAAAATATGCATTTCACCCTTTAAAGGAAAAAAAAACAGTACTATCACCATAGAATCTAATTGCAATCTGTTAATAATTAAATTTTACGTCTCTGAAAAGACTTTTCTGCAGTTTTTTTTTTTTGACTATGTGAGTAGAGAAAAATAATACTAACCAATAATATCGTAGTGTTGTGCATTTCAGTCCAATCAAATCCCTATGGATAAAATCACGTCCCCCGCCCTACATTATTTCCCGCTGAATAGTCTGTTTCACTTAAAAAGCAAATACCACTTCAGCAGTTTATGAACTTCAGGATGAGCTTTTATTGATCAACCATGTGCATTAAGAATCACGACAAGTGTAGAAGGAAAAGAGAGAGGGAGAGAAAAGGAACGACTGTTTTACTTATTCAACAGCTTGACACACCCCCCCTCCCCGTTCCCTGCATCCTTCCACCCCACGCCTTCACTCTTTCAGCGGAGAGACAAGAAATCAATGGGCGACCATAAAGAGCCCAGAGCCCTCTTTCCAATGATAGTGATTTGGCTTGCTTGAATACATAATCAACAATTATAGCTCATAAATAATAAATGACATGACATATATAATACTCGCCTGGGTTTTAAGAGGACAAAGAGTGTTTAATCATGATATTAGTGCTTAAAGGAACATTCATTCAACAGCCGGTCCTGCACTGGTAACTTAGATCCACACAGAGCAATTATTGTACGTTGTGCTTTTGAACACCTCTCTTTCTTCATCACAGCTCTACGGGGTGATCAATGCACAGCTACAGCTGGTTGAAGGGGACCAAATCCATAAAACAGTTGATTTGGTTCCATTTTACCAGCTTTAGCAAAGCATTTTAGGGCAAGACCAGAATCTCAAACAGGACCGGGGAAGGACACCACAGAACCTGTAGAAGAAGAACAGAAAAGTTGAGTGGTGGGTTTTTTCTCTTTTAAAGTCAATCACAACTTCTTTAATGTTTACAAGAAGCAGCAACACAGATTTGTACTCCATCACATAGAAACAGCATAGAGCAATGGTAGAGCAAACACATATGCAGGCCTTTTTTGTCCTCAAGTTATCCCACTGGATATATTGGACACCTCCGTCCAATACGTCCAGCGGGATAATTTGAGGACAAAAAACCCCCAAATTAAATTAGGTTATTAGAGTGATTCATGTATTTAGTATAGCTACAGCAAGATAAATTAACTTTAATTTATGTCTCCGTCTTAAAGCTGTATGTGTTTTGGTGCAGAATTTGGCACTTGGGCACATGCACAAATTTGCACTTTACAGCTAAAACTGAATCTATGGGTGACACTGCTGTCCCAGAGCAATGTAGTTCATTCCCCCCAGAGTTGCCCACAACTGGGGTGCAAAAAAATGTCTCTGTTAGTTTAGTTAACGTCTCTGTTAAAACGTTTAGCTTTTGTTCATTGAAATAAAGCTGAAATAAAATATAAATATTAGATGAAAAAATTTAACTTTAAAAACAAAATTTGGAAATGTTGCCCTGGTAACTAACTGAAATAAAGTTGAAGTACTACAATTACTAAACCTAAAAATGTAATAAAAATCAATTCAAGCTAAATGGAAATATATATAAAAAACAAAAACTAAAATGACAAAAACACATAAAATTACTGGACTAAACCTAAACTAAAATCAAAATGAAAACTTAAAATAGAAAAAAGAATCTAAGTAGATATAATAGAAATTCTATAAAATAATATAAAATAACACTGTACACTAATACTGATTTAATGCTGTAGGTGTAGAAACTTTTTCTATCTTTTTTATAGCTAATTTTGTGTTTGGATTTGGATAGCTAGTTATTCAGCCGAAAACTTTTTTTTTCTTGTCAATATAAGTTGACAAATTTTCTTTCTCTCTCTCTCTCTCTCTCTCTCTCTCTCTCTCTCTCTCTCTCTCTCTCTCTCTCTCTCTCTCTCTCTCTCTCTCTCTCTCTCTCTCTCTCTCTCTCTCTCTCTCTCTCTCTCTCTCTCTCTCTCTCTCTTTCTCTCTCTCTCTCTTGTATATACAGTCAAATAATATTTATTTTGGTGAGTGATAGTAGTATCTTCAGTCTGTTCCCTTTTGTTTTTCTCCAATATTGTTAAAGCAGCATGAAGTGATTCTGAACTTTGCAATGCACTTTAAAATGTTTATCTTTTAAGTTATGGCATCATGTGAGAATGTTTCTAAAGTAGAAAAACACAAAAGATCTGACTTTATTTTTAAATGACTTTCTGACTTTACTATCCATGCACTGTCCGAGTCTGCCAGTTGTGAAGGCGTTTTAGTCCAATCCGACCCAGAACCTAGAATGAAGTTGACACCTCTGTTTTAGAGACTCAATTACAGCTTGTATCAGGTTAGACAACGCACACAAACAAGAATTAATGCAGTCAGGATCAACATAACGGTGGTGTACGAATGTTGAATGGAGGTGGATGCATCATTGTTCATAGAGAAAGGGCAGGAAATGAATTAAAGAGGTTATAGAGGAAAATAGGAGTGACCACTGATGACAGAGGAATCAGTGTAAATGATGGCTGCGGACAATCTTGTGAAAATGAATTCATCACATGCCTGTCGATATGGTTAATGAAGCCAGAAGACAACACACAGCTAGAATTAACAACCATTTACCCCCCTCACTTTCCACTCTTCCTTTGTCTTTTTTATATCTCATTCTCCCTCGTTGCCTTTTAAGCTCTCTCTGTCTGTTTTCTCATTCTGTCTGAAGTCTGTGCTTTTACAAGGCGGCTCTTTGCAGTTTAGGCCGACTCATTGTGTTCGGTTCTTTATGTTTGTCCTTCAGGCTCCTTTCCTGGATCTTTAAATTAGCATGAGCTAATAATTTTGCCATTAGGGAAGCTGCCTGCCATTCTCCCTAGACAGCCTGAAGAGAAAAGCATGTATTCATAGTGTAAGTGTGTGTTTGATCTGGCTCAAGGAAACAGTGGCATTATATTTTTTTATGATAGGCTATTTGTTCAATCTTTCCCGCATCCACTTCAGTTTTGCAGTATACCTCAGAGCAACCCACATACCCAGTGCACTAATCCCCCCCCTCCATTCGCTCTTCCTCCACTTTCCTGCAATTCATATTTGAGGACAAGTGACGCATGGTCAGGATGGTCACAATATCACAAAACGTTTTTTCTCTAACTAGGGCTGCACAGATTATTTCCCCACAATAAAATGCATGTTTTGTGCAATACTTAGAATTAAAAAAGTTACTTTACTTAGTAAACACAAAAACACATAGAAAACAACTACTAATACTCTAATGTCAACTTACTGTCATTAGAGTATTAGTAGACTGTCTGCTTAATATCTGCTTAAACTTTATTTTGATGCTCCCCAACAGACATTATGACTATAAGTAACTTTGCAACTACATATCAACTTATTCTACTAACATGAACCCTAACCTTAACCTAACAGTCTACTACAATGTACTAATACAATGAGAGTTAGTTGACATGTAGTTGACAAGTTTTTGCTATAGTTAGTAAAATGTCTAATGTGGACCTTTGAAGTAAAGTGTAACCATTACTTAACACTTTCTGTTGTGTACACCATTTGGATTCTAACACTGTCCCCTAACCATTTGACAAGATTTTTGCTTTCAGTGTGGAGAAAGGGGAAAAAAGTTCTCCTCATCCCTAGTTGGGACACAGTGTAGGATAAAAGAGGAGGACAAGAAAACAGGAAGTAGAACAAGGCAGGGCAGAGCGAATACATCACCCCATTGCAGAATTACTGCAGAATTGTTTTCTTGAACTTCCTTTTTGTGTGTGTGTGTGTGTGTGTGTAATAATAAATACACAACCTTTCATTTCAGTCTAATTACTAATATTAGCATCTAAATACCAACAATAATACTTCATATGTATAACGGTAAATGTCCTTTATGTCCACTGTGTTCATTGCAGCTTTGTCTGTGGATCAGCGCACACATACTGTAGAGGACAAAGTGAAAGGATATACAGTAAAGAGACGGTGCTGAATCAAGACATGTTTCATCACAGATTTTAATACCAATCCATACTCTCAGCCGCTTACAGGCACAATGTGTTTTTTCCCAGAATAGTTTTTATCCAATCAGATTTTTGAAAGACAAAAAGAAAGAGAACGTTTTTATGACTTTTTCTCTCTTTCCCCTTTCTCCCTCCTCTTTTCTCTCTCTTTCTGTCTCCATAGTTGGATAAAAGGGGTTCTTAGTTGCCCACATGAGTGACCTTCGCTTCCCAAACAGAAACCAAGAGGTTAAAGTGATGAAAATTGTCTAATCCATTTACCCTCATGTCATTCCAAACCTGTTTGACTTTCTTTTGTAGAACACAAAAGGTTTTGATTACATTAATGCCATTGATTACCAAAAATGTCATACAGGTTTGGAATGAAATGAGGGTGAATAAATGATTAACACTTTAAAATGTGACTGCAGCACCTGTACCATTGCATCACTACCAGCCACTTTTATTTAACAGATGCTACGGAAGAAATTCCAAACTGCTGGACACATAGAAAACAACAAAAAAGAGGGGAAAAGAGTTTACTGCACTGTACACCTTCCACCCTGTGTGAGTCTGTGCTCCTAAAAGCCAGCAGCTGAGGATTGTTTAGCAGACCTGACCCCAGCGGATACACACGCTGTGGAAACCACAGCAGAGCCTCTGTGGACATTTTAATTAGCTGGCCTGCTAACTGAGTTAATTCACTTTGCAGCTGTACATTGAACTGACCAGTGTGTTTTGCTATGAACTTTAGAAAGGCCTTTAGTAGTTTGTAAATAGTTTTTTCCTTCTCAATACATCCAATCTCAAAAAAGAGATGAATTGTTGTAGCGCAACTAGCGACCCCAACACTGGTGATTTGGGCCTGACTTTGCGCAAAAGCCTGGGGCTAGAGTTTTGGAGGTGCCCTCAGATAGAGCAGAGGATGTGGGAAGAGGTGCTGAGCGTGCTGCAGTGTGCTTGCAGAGCTGGCTTCTTTCCTTTCCTCTGCATTCGGACGTGAGCACTTGCGTAGGCCCTTACTCAGCATTATTTCTGGCCCTGATTGGCTGATCCATGCATAAGACCGCTACAAATACAGTAGACAGTAGTCAGCTTTTTGACCCTCCTTTGTCGGAACAAAGTGTCAGAATTTTGGTTGATTCGCCGATCATTGAACTTGGTTTTTGGTTTTGAAGCTGCATTTTGTTGTATGTTGTGTGCTGTGGGCCTAAATCACAAAGGATCCTTATTCACACATCGGTTTATATATTTTTCCGTTGGGCCATTTATAACAACAGAGACAGCAAATGATAGGAAGATTGGTGTTCCTGTCAAAAAGCCCCACTGTGCAACTTCCGAGCACATGCACCAGTTCACAACGACGTTCTATAAATATTCCTTTTAGGTTTTATTTTTTAAATGACAATAACAGTATCAGAATGTTCTGGGTACCAACAATTCTTAGCTTTTTATTTTTTGTATTATTAATAGAATTAGAAGGATTAAAACCTGTCCACATAAGAGCACCACAGCTCAATATGCTCCGACAGTTTAATTTAATTAAACATCTTTTTATCCTGTTTTGGTTACTCTGAGATTACTGGCATCTTTGTTTTGCAGATCTTTGATTTAATTTCAGAATGATGTAATCCCCAAAGCGGTTTTATTTCTTAACCTGTAATCTAAGGGGAACACCTTTTAAGGAAATCAATAGCAATTTAGTTTTTTTTTGTTTTAATCCCTTTTTACTTGTGCTTCTCTCTCTGCAGATGTTGGATCAGTGGGAATCATATAGAGCATTTGCTCCTCTGTTACTGTAGGGGGTCTAAAATTCTTATTGCCTTTGGGCCACTGTAATCTGGTTTAATGGAGGCTTCTACTCCGGGGTGTAACA